ATGACCAACTCTGCAAAATCGTAAGACGTCGCGATCAGCAGCCAAGAGTGAAGCAGTTCCCACGCGTGTTCAAACACTAATAATGACGACAGCATTTGGAAAGAGTTAAGAATGCGCGAGTATCGAATGTTCCAGGGTTTTGATACAATACTTTAGAAAAACCGAAGTGTTTAAGTGTAGAATGCATCTTGGCTAATTCGACGATCCAAGATAATTGCAGACACTATTTGTGTTAATAGCAATCAGAAATTAGAGTTACTCGAGAGCTTCAAACGCATCCAATATAAAACACAAGTGTTTTTATAGAATTATTTTACAACTAAAATTTAGCAAATTAAAGTAAAATGTTTAGTGTCGTGAAAGAATCACTTTCAGAAAAATAACTTTAATTTGGCATTTTGTTTTTTGTCTGCATTTGAAAAATTTAGTATTCTGACCTCTAAGAACATTGGGAACATAACAAATACCCCCTCCCCATATTAATTCAAGGTTAAGAATCAATTAGAAAATGCACGGATCGATTAGATATCATTACGTAATCCATGCAGCCATTCATTTGTTAGACTCCAAGGAAATATCCTTGGTGACAATTTTCAAGACAACAGTTTCAAAATTTAAGAAAAATCCCATGTGGCATTTTGAATAGACATTCATTGCTGTATTAAAATGTAGGACATATATATAACACATGCAGTCTTTAAATGTTCGAGTCGCGTGCGTCTTTTTAATGTTTGATTAATCCTTAACCATGCATTCCCCCATCGTTTGCTCTAAATTACCAAGAAATCCCATATATTATTCAGTAATACCTCGACCCAAGTTACCCCAATTTCGAAAATCGCGAAGATCCGGATTCGCGTATCTCGTCGATTCATCTTTTGTTTAGGAAATAAAATTTGTAAATTTGGCAATGTGATTGGGAGAATTTTCCAGTTTTGCATGGCCAATAAATTGGGAAGTGGATAGTGATAACCTTTAAGAACTGCTGGATTCAAACAATCAGGAGCTGACAATTGATGAACTCGTAGAAATGCACGAACAAGACATTGAGTCCAGACCTAGCTCAAACAGAAGATCTAATTACAGTTGGGAATTTGACATAAGGTCCCAGTTTAATTGAAAAAGTCGAATTTTAGAATATATATAGACTCCAACGAAGGGTGCGCCGCCCCCTCCCAACAAGACAAGGAATAAAAAATAATTAACTTGCCACAAAAAATAATGACGTTAGGAAAAAAATAGAAATCTGACCGGTAGACTTTTGTTAAATTTTACGAGACGTTCTACACCAAACTAACTTTCGTTTGCAATTTTGTATTATCCAAGATTATACTAAATATTTTTTGAGCTAAATTAAAACCAGGGGGAGGGGCTACGCGCCAAGCAGCGGTTGTTTTCGTTGTACATGGAAACCAAGAGGTAACAAATCGTGAAAAAATATTTGTAAGGAACTGTTTTGAAATATATTTCAAATGAAGAATATATTAAAAATAACCAATATCAATAGTGTAATAAAACATAACATATTGCGAAATATATTATATAATGTAATTTAATTGTAATTAGGATACATGATAATATTCATATAATTTTAAACAACAATTATAAAACGTTTGTAACATTTATAGAATAAAATTATAAAAAGATAATATAAAATTAAATTTATATAAAATAATCATATATATAAAAGAATTAAACGTATTAAAACCAATAATGAATATCAATTAATAAGTGCCGATAACTTGCAAAAACAGTTCCTTCAATGAATTTCATCGAATAAGAAACGTTCAAAAAAAGCATTTTTAAAAAGTAAAATAAAGTGAAAATATACGATTATTAATAAAAAGCACAATACTCATTTAAAAAAATATCCTGGTACTCACCCATGTTTTTGAAATATCTATATTTGAAAACAGCTCAAAATACAACAGAAGACTGAAATAGTAGCTTAAAGAACAAATGCAATAGAAATTGCCGAATTTTTAAAGAAATCGAAAAAAAAAAAATAGGGTTACACCGCGGAAAAATAACCGATAAAAATTAACTCCAAAAAAAAAAACATTATCCCACTGGCAACCACAGGCTAGAGATATAAAGGTAACCCTATTGTAATGTTATCGCCCATCTTGGCGAACATAAACAGCTTGGCACGTAGTACTCGTATACCGAATATAGATAACGAAGTGTTTGTGTTTATACTTTGATTCGGTTGCTTCCATTTCTCATATAACTGCATTACTATTGAATAAGTACGTCTCGCATACACAGTGCATCTTCTTACACGTAACGGCAAATTTAATTAAATATATTTTGATAATTTGAGGAGTTAATGGAAAGGTTATTCCTTATTATAGATAAATTGAGACTTAAATTCTTAAAAAATTCTATAATGTTTTGTTGCCCTCAATGTACATTTTTCTATTAGAAAACAGTTAAATTAAATATGCTATGACTTTAATATTCTATAAAAAATAGTATACTTACAAGTTGATCAATTTCGTTTTCCATGTTACTGTTTTCTTCCTTAAGATTCTATACTAAGCTTTCAAATTTCGCTTGGCATTCCAAAGAAATGATTCGTTTGTAAGAAGTATGTTTCTGCTATTTATTCGGAACCAGATTTCACCTCAACAATTTTAGAATCAATTAATCGATTAAATCCCCTTACAACTTTTTACTTGATTTATTTAATAGGACACTAGAGCCACAAAACAGGGGAGTAGCAATGTATATCTTAATTTTTAGGAGGGTACTTGAATCGCCACTGTCTTCTTAAAAGCACCACACTAATATGGGTAAGTGAGTGATGGAAAATCACCGTCGCAATTCTCAGCTACTCGAGGGCTTTTGGCGACGAACCGTGTTATTTTGAACCATGGTCAAGCGACGAGGACGACACCTGAGCTGGCATCACTTCTCCTAACTTCCACAGCACACCAATGGAAGCATCCATAGATTTAAAGTGCATCTCTCCTTTATGCGGCGGGTCTTCAAAGGTACTAGGTTTGAACTTATGACACGCCAGCCACGAATCCGTTGAGTGAGTGAGTGAATATTAACGTCGCACTATTCAGCTACACGAGGGTCTTTGGCGATGGACCTCGTAATTTTGAGTGATGGTAAAATGACGAGGACGACACCTAAGTTGGCATCCTCTCCTAACTACCACACCAGCGGGAGGACGTTTGAGCTCTCGACAGATTTAACGTGTATCGCTCCCCTACATGGAGGGTCATTAGTGATGCTGGGATCGTACTCATGACACGCCAGCCACCTTGACCACTAGGCTACCACGACCAAAAGTCATATTAACGTTTCACCATAAAACACGAGGGTTATTGGTGACGGAGCTGGAAATTTTAAACATCGGTCAAGTGACGAGGATGACACCTGAGCTGGTAACCCTACTTCTAATTACCCTACCATACCAATGGGAGGACGTTGAACCTAGACAGATTTAACGTGTAACGAAGGGTTTCACTTCTCGAGGGGTCTTCATTGTTAAAATGACTATAACCCTCGATATTCCGGTCACGATTTCTTGAGCATAACAACTAGGTTACCGCGGCCATGTCATGATCTCGTGGCCAGCGTGTTCGAGCCCCACTGGCACTGAAGGTCCGATGTGCAGAGGGTCTGATGTACGTTAAATCTGTGGAAGCTCAAAGTCCTTCCGATAGCGTGATGTGATAGTTTCGAAAGGGAGGATACTAGCTCACGTGTCGTCTTAGTGATTTGACCGAGGTTCAAAATTACGTGGTCCATTGCCAATAGCTCTTGTGTTCATTTATAGTACAGCGACAAACAACATTCACTTATACTACTTCATTTTTATATAGAATACTTAGAGGTACTTACTTCTAAGTAATTAAAATTTTTCGACGCGTTCAAGAAGTATGAACTCATTACCTTTAGGTTATCAAGATGTTACAGTACTTAGAAGAAAGCATTTTTTGTATTTCTATAATATTGAGATGTCTGATTCTTTAAACGTCTCAGTAATCTTGAGGCTAATTGTGCATCTATGACGTATTGGGGAAGAAATTGTGAATTATATATTTTTTAGCCATTATAATTTTATGACACTTTTCAGAATGGAATACGATCTTTCAAGTTCCTGCCAATCAGACCCTACGCACGATGACACAAACACCCCTACTTAGCTTGATCTTCGATGTTTAGTGTCTTGGTGGGAACGAACCTGAAGACGTCGCAGCACTTTGTTGTATATTTAGGAGCATTCAGCATTTTCAGGCTGGTATCTTCTAGATGGATCAAGGGATATTAGATTGAACTCTGAAACGTGGCGTGAAGTGGGTGAGTGAATATTAACGTCGCACTTTTCAGCTACACAAGGACTTTCGGCTTCAGACCTCGTCATTTTGAACCATGGTCAAGTGACGAGGACGACACCTGAGCTGGCACCCCTTCTCTTAACTACCACATCACAGCAAGGGAGGGCGTTTGAGCTCTCGACTGATATAACGTGCATTGCTTCCCTACATAGCGGGTTTTCAGTGGTTACAGAAACCCGCCATGTGTAAGGAAGATAACAGACTCATGAAACGCCGGCCACGAGTCCGTTATCTTGACCACTGGGCTACTATGGCCTCTTTAAACGTGGTCATGAGTTAATTAAATTCATAACTCTTGTAATTTACTTAAATATTTAAAAAAATAATTCATTAATTAGGCATCGATTAATAAACAAGTTAATTAAAATATGATTCACTACAAAAAAAAAAGAGTTTTATAAATTTCCGGAAATCTTAGCCCTGAAAAAATGTAGCTTTGATTAATAACCAATGAAAAAAGTTACAATCAGTACAATCAGGAGAAGGCTACTACCTATTGGACAAGTGTGATTGGTTATCCAATATGGGAATTGAACTGGCAACTACATCTGTCTGTCATTAATTTTTTTAATTAATGAATAAATAGTAACAAACATAAATAATAGTCCAACACCATATAAAAGGAAACTCATTCATTGTGTTCCTGTAGCGCAATGGATAGCGCGTTGGGCTTTTAACACAAAGGTCGTGGGTTCGAAACCCGCGACCACGAAAAGTGCTCCGATGATAAAAATATTTTGCCTATATATATCCAGCGCCTTTATGCCAGGGTTTGAAAAAGAGCTATGAAAAGTTCTTATTTTCAGAGTACTATCAATTGAAATAATAACCGGCGTGTGTTTTGTGTTAAAATTTATCCTCCAATAAAATATGAAAAAATCCACTTCTAAGCTGTATATTTAAAAATCTTAGTTCAACACTCTATATAGAAGTCCTATCAATACATATATATTTCTAAATATTATTATTAATAATAATTTTCAAACAAATTTCTCTCTGAATATTCTAATTCAACTAACACTAAATATATTAAAAATAACCATTGATACGATTTTCAAAGTCATGAAGTTACAAGGGGTGATCAAATGAAAAGGTACGAAACGACATAAAAATGAAACAGTTAAATATTTGCATATTCCGCCAAGGGAGAATGTAGCGAGACATCTCGGGATGCCATTGGAGACTCTGACTGGGATCGGATCATGCGCGGGTGCCCGCATGCGCAGGAGAGAGCAAAGGGTCTTATAAAAAGCGGCGTCCAAATGATGCGAGCACAGAAAAAGCATTAACTCCGATGTGTACTGCGAGACACTCCGACGCCTACGCAGGTCCATCAAGAACAAAAGACCGGGGCTGCTCACGGAGGGTGTGGTTCTGATCCATGATAACGCGCGTACACACGTCTCCCAGAGTCACACAAATGGAACTAGACAAGTTCCAATGGGAGACGTTGCACCATCCGTCCTACAGTTCGGACATGTCACCCTGCGATTTCCATGTGTTTGGTCCACTGAAGAAACACCTGAAAGGAAAGCGCTTCAACTCGGACGACGTACTCAAGGACACTGTGAAGGACTGGGTCTCGTCACAGCCACAGGAATTCTGGGAACAAGGAATCCTGCGGCTTGTTCATCAGTGGGATCGTTGTGCTCAGGCCTATGGTGTATATTTTGAATAAAGTCTATATTTGTACCCACCGTGTCGTTTCGTACCTTTTCATTTGATCACCCCTTGTACTTTTGGAATAATTTTAGAAATGATAGTTTTAAGATTATTTTTATTTCTATGCATAAAATTCTTTGTATTTGGATGTGACTTAATTCACACGTAGTAGAGGTATTTGTATTTGTTTTAAACTACATATTTATAAATAAAAAAAAATTAATTTCAAATATATAATTGAACAAAATACACACATATATATATATACATATAATATATATATTTAGCTTAATGTCATACATAGATAAGAAATTGCATTATCGTGGTGTGATTAAATCTTACAATAAAAATTAAATCAGCATAAATTAAAAATATGTCAATTAATTTCTTATAAAAATACTTTTTTTAATATAGGGAATAAAACATCAAAAAGTTATAACCAAATCGAATTTTTAAGTGAAGAAATGTGTCAAAAAATATTTCCCCCTTCCAGTATTTGTGCCACGCTTAGCATTTTTAACATAAATAAACGTCATTTTTTATTAATTTCAATTATAATTTTTAACTTTTTGAATTAATATAATTGATTACCACATCGTTATGAAATCCAATTAATTTTATTTTGCAAACTTCAAAAAAGAATGTCATTTTTTTATGTTAATCAAGGAAAGATTTAAAAAATGGTTTTAATTATATTTTTCTTCAACAAAAATTGAATTTTGTATTTTCTTCTCAGTTTTATTTACATATAAAATAATGAAACACATTTTTTCACAGATGCGAGATGATAGGGAAATTAATATGCTCTCTGATAAATTATTTTACGTATTCATAGTTGAAGTAAATGTTATTAAAATACAAATAAGTATTTAATTAATGAATTATTCGCATTTGATACTTTAAATTTAAATGAAAGTATATATCTCTTTTCAGAAAAAAATAAGACTATTGATTTCAAAATTACTTATTCATTCGGACTCGTATTTAAATTTTGTTACAATTCATTCTCAAAATTATGAATTCAACCAATATTTTATTTCTTTTTCTACAAATATTAATTTAATAAAGATTCTTTGAATGTTTAATTATATATGTTGGTAAATATTAATAATCTGCCGGATTCTTTTTTTTTTTAAATTAAAGAAAATACCGATTTCAAAAAGAGAATGTGATTAAAATTTATTACATTGGAAACAAAATGAAATGCCAAAGAAACATTTAAGTTGTAAAAAAAGTAGAACAAAGTCAGTCCTCATTATTCTTGTGTATATATCTCGTTAACTATAAAAATAATGGGTTGTAGCATAAAATCAAAATATTCAAATACATAATAAAGAGAAAATCGTGAAAATCAAACACAAAACTTGATTTAAATATTTTTACCTATGATTTACATTTTGCATTAGTTTACTATCTTTTCCTACATTAAATAAAAATTTTAAGCAACTGAAAAAATCAAACCCTACGGAATTAAAAAAATCGGAACAAAATTGTGCATATTATAATCTAGCTGTCTCTCTCTCGGTATAACGAGCACAGTTCCACTGAAGACCCGCCGTGCAGGGGGGTGATGCCCGTTACATTTGTCGGGAGCTCAAACGTCATCCTGTTGGTGTGGTGTGGTAGTTAAGAGAGAGGGACGCCAGCTCATGTGTGTAGTCCTTATCACTTGACCATGGTTCAAAATGACGAGGTCCGTCTCCAAAAGCCCTCGTGTAGCTGAACAATGCGCCGTTAATATTCACTCATTCACTCTCTGTACATAAAAGAAAAGTGACTCATCAACTTATCATGGGCTTTTCGGAATTGATAAATTAAAAGGATTGAAAATTGGAAAGTACATTTCTTTTATTAAGTAGAAATCTAACAAGAGAGCGGATTTTGCAGAAATTAATTCCGAAGGGGGGTTGCAAGGATTTTAAAGGGGGTAAAATATGAAATTATTAGTTTTTGAACTATTAGACTTATAGACTTGAGATTTACTAAACACGTGTATTTTGTTGAACAGAAATCCGCTATAAATGAGTTTTGTGAAAATCGGCTTCAAAGTGGTTACGGGGAAGTTTTAGCTAAAAGAATATCTGTTTTTTTTTTCTTTAAGACCTAAAGAAATTCGTCAAGAACATTTATGTTGCTGAGCAAAAATCCGATAAAAATGGTTTTTTTTTTGTTGTTGCTGAAATTGATCCTGGATTAGTCATGGGGAAGTAAAAGCTAATAATACTTTCATTTTTGAAATTCAAGTCTTGCCATTTTTAAATCAAAAGGTGAGTCCCATAAGAAGGTTCTTCAATAAAACCGAAAAAATTCACTGCTAGAATTCAAATATAAGTAACTTAAAAACACTTTACAATCATAAAACAATGCACTTGTATTAAAAATTTCTTATACATAATTCTTTTTAGACGAAATTACAATAATTTCAAAATCAGAAGTACGTTTTTTAAGTATTCAAACAAATTATTTTAAAAGTAATATATAAAAATTGTTATATAAGTTATGCAATTAATAAATTAATTAATATGCAGTAAATATAAATCCAACTTCTTTAGCGTTAATATTTTATTTTATATAATTATCTTTTAAGAAGTAATTTCTTAAATTTAATCTTGTAAACATCTCTTTGCAATGATTGGACTAATTGATAATTTCAACAATCATTATAATTTAAAAAGTAATTTAAAATTATTTTTACATTTAATTTGCAACAATTTAGTTTATGTATTAGTGTATTATGTACATTAATTTAAACGTTATAGAGTATTGGATGTTAAAGATTAATCTAACAGTGATGAATTAGGTGTTAAGTTCAATGAAATTTCTTTTAGTACAACAGTCATCTATTAAGTTAGATATTACGCAAAGACATATCCTATCATTAACACAAAAATAAATTACAGTTTAAAAAAAACATAAAGCACGTTTTTATAAGGAATTGAACTAAAAAGCAAAAAAATAATTCTTAATATAAGAATAAAATGATTAACGAGAAAATTAATGTCATTGGGAGTAAGAGAAAGAGGGGGGGGTGCTCTATATTATTTGTTATAATTTCTGTCTAGTTCTATTCCGAAATGCTGAACTAGTGTAACAAAGCACTCCACGCTTTTACGATGACATTAATTTTCTCGTTAATCATTTTATTCTTGTATTAAGAATTATTTTTTTACTTTTTAGTTCGGATCACTAAAAAAGCGTGTTTTTTTTTAGTTTTTTTTAAACTATGATTCATTTTACATTTTTTAATTCGATCTACAATAAAAGAGGGCATTTTTAGTTTTTTTAAAACTATCATTTATTCATTGCTAAATTTACCTTTGAGTTTGATATTTGGAGCCGGAATTACGTGGCTGCTGGAGTTAGTCTTTCTATTCAATGGATATTAATTAATGGGTCCGAAGGTTATTTATTCTTTCCGTTTGCGGATGAGTCCCGCATCGTTATATTTCAAAGATTTCCGTCCTTATAGATACAGGTCACACTAATAAAAGTGTGTTAAGAAGAAATATTAAGTGTCAATCGTATTATCACCTTTTAAACGTATTGCTATGATGTTGATTCGTGTCATCACTTCTAAACGTATTGCTTTATAAAAATAAAAATATATATATATGTAGCAGTTAGAACATAATTTATTTTTTCACATGCACGAGTATTTTTCTTATTTCCATTTTCAGAAAAACTAGACAATTGTTTATATTATGGTAAGAAATTGCTGACGCATGCACCTTCCCCTTTCTTACATAAAGAACACGTTTTGTTTGTTTTATTTGTATTAACCACAAGTGTATTCGCTTTTAGGGTTGCACCTTAATCTTTTAGTCACTAAATCTGGAATTTGTCACCAAATCTGAAAATAGTATATGCAATAAGTCACCAAATCTGGAAGTGGTATATGGAATTAGTCCTCAAATCTGAAAATCGTTATTTCTAATGATCCTGACCAGGACATTGGAACAAAATTATGAAGTTATTGTATTGTCATAAGTCCTTGACAAGTGTACAAAATTTCGAATTAATCTGACCTTTTAAAATGGGTGAAAATTG